GATAAATTCAGTGAGAACGTCAACAAAGAGATAAAAAAACATAAAAATGGAAATTATAAAAGGGAACCAGTCCGAAGTGAAGAACACATTGTCTGAAATGAGAAGTATATTCAAAGGAATAAACAAAATGAATAAAGAAAAGGATCAAATGCCCTATCTAGAGGACAGGAAAGCCAAGGACATGCAATCAGAACGGCAAGAGATAAGATGCCGAGACTATAAAAATAATTTAAGGAGCATATGGGACACTATTAAGGGTCGAAATAGCCGTCTGATTGGCGTAAGTAAAGAAAATCAAGATGTTGAACAGCTGTTTGAAGAAATAATGATGGAAAACTTCCCTAACCTGGTGAAGGAAATGGACATAAAATCCCAGGAAGCTCAGAGAATTCCAAAAATCAGGGATCCAAAGAGGCCCCACCAAGACACATCATAATTAAAATGCCAAAGGTTAAATACAAAGAAAGAATATTAAAAAGCAGCAATAGAAAAACAGTTAGTTACTTAGAAGGGAAAACCCATAAGACTGGCAGCTGATTTCTCGAAACTATGTAGGAGGCTTGGCTTGGCAAAAAAATATTCAACAGGATGAAGACCCAAGATCTACAACCAAGAATAATTTATCCAGCAAAGTTATTATTGAGAGTTGAAGGACAGATAAAGAGCTTAACTTCCCAGAGAAAAATAAGTTAAAGGAATTTATCACCACCAAGATAGTATTACAGGAAATGTTAGAGGGACTTCTTTAAGAAGATAAATCACAAGAAGAAAAACCATGTATCAAAAACAGGAATAAAGAATGGTAACAACTACACTCCTATCAATAAGTACCTTAAATGGAAAAGAATTAAGTGATCCAACCAAAAGATAGAGTGGCTGAAAAGATTAGAAAACAAGACCCCTACATATGAAAAGGAAGAGGATAGAAAAAGATATTACTTTAATGGACCTAGAAGGTATTTAAGTCAGATAGAGAAAGATAAACACTATATGATTTCACTTATATGCAGAATCTAAGGAATAAAAAGAACAAATTAATCAGACTAACAAATATAGTGGACAATTTGGTGATGGACAGAGGGGAGCGGGGTTTGGGGAGCTGGAAGAATGGAGTGAAGGGTTAAAGAAGTACAAATTAGTAGCTGATGGACGGTCACGGGGATGAGAAGCATGGCATAGGGAATGCAGTTAGCATAAATATGTTGGCTAGGTGGAGGGTCAGGGGAGGAAGGGAGCAATTGGGGGGATTATTTTATGAAATATATATATGTCTAACCAAGGTACTGTATACTTGAAACTAATTTTTAAAAAAGAATAAATCCTATACTTATTTTATGCCTTAAAAGTACTTTTTCTTAGAATATCCAGTTAAGAGAGTATTTTTGGCATTGCTACATAGGACACATTAGTAGGCAAATGTTTTTATAATCCCACCAAAAACTTAGCAACTAAGTCTTTCTCAGGATGAAAGATCAAAATTATATAGAGTAAATCAGGAAGAACTTCAGATTGCGTAGACATTTTTCCCTTTGTGGCTTTAATGCAAAAGGAGATTCCACAAAATCTTCTGAAGACCATCTACCTGTGTTGTGACATTTCATGACCACACCTTGAATTTAACAGGTCATAAATAGGATAATAAAATCAATTACATTTAGTAGATTAAAAATGTAGTTTTAAATGATTTTTTAGAGTATTGGGTTTTGGCAACAGTAAGTAGGCAGAATTAACTGTTTAATCATTTACAATGTCAAAATAGATCCTTCCCTTCCTTATGCTCTTCCAACCCCTTCCTCCAGCCTTGGTTCCCTCAAAGCTATATTCCTGTGATGGTTTTCCAGCTGGTCTCCCCAATTTCCCTGGTTTTGCTATTGAATGCCCTACCCTTGAACCCTTACCCCAACTCTGCTGCCACCTTTCTTCCTACAGATGGCTGGATCAATCTTTTAAAAATATGGTTTCTGTAAGTCACTTACAAAGTCAAGAACTTATGAGAGCCAGTTTCTTAGTAACCTAACTTAGATAGTTGACACATGTATACATAAATACATGTGTGTGTCTGTTAATGCAAATTGTAGCATTCCACACACACTTTTTCTTTTAACAATATAACCCAGTAATCATTCCATTTCAGAACCTATGGGTTTTATCCTGCTTTATGCTGCTTTATTCTCCTTTAAGAGCTGCATTATACTCCATTGTATGGATGTTCCACGATTTACCTAACAAGCCTCTGTGAAGGGGAAATGATGGGTTGAGTAAGTAGAAGAAGGAAAGAAATTAATTTTTTCTTCAAATGAAAGGT